ATATATATGTGTTTGTTTTTCGCCCCCCGTCTTGCTGCACCCCCTGGGGTGTGGTGCAGGGCGGGGGATGCCTGGTCGGCGGGAACCCGGCACGGAACCCTCCGGCGTTGTAGGCGGGTGTGGGAAGCGTTCCCCGTTCTCCTTTTATTTTATTTTGATCGGTCTCCTCGACGCTCTTTCTCGTTTGGTGCGGTAGCTGGTCTTTTTTTCTATCATTTTGTTTCTCTTCCGAGTGGTTTTTGTACCCTATTTTTTTCTATTTCTTCGTGGGGTCGTGTATGCCGGGTTTTGAGACCACGGGCTCCCAATCTTTTTTTTTTTTAGAGCTAATGTAAGAAACAACAACAACAACAACCTCCCCCCCCATTGTGCCACGACATTATTGGACGGGACTACAGTATACTCTTCGCAACCGAGCCCACTGTGTAGCCTACTGCTGTGTACATCGAACCTTACTACTTGCGCCCTCTTATTATTTTGTGGCTGCGTATGCTCGAAGGTCACTCTCAAGGCGATCCTCCCCACAGAAACTAGTAGAATATCGCAGAACGAGAGCCGGCATCGTAACATAGCAATTCATGCGAACCTCAACCCTGCTCGTTTCGTGCGCCGAAGCACACCGTGCTAAACCGCAAGAACTCAACGCGAGCACGACAGAACATGGGTAAAATGGGACTTCAGGTACGGAGTATCGCTTATGCGGCCGGCACACGCACCATTATTGACTCCCCCCCAACAAACGCCCATCGGGCAGGCAATCTGTACGTGTCATGCCCGAACACCCGACAGCAAACAAGCACGGGCCAAGAGCACCGAGAACGACCGCTGCTCGCCACTATGGACGTATGATAACAAGAATAAGACTGAAACAAAGCCCAGTGGCGAAAAGCATCAAGTAACGCGCGGTCTCCTTTATCCAGTGGGTGTGTGGCACAGGTCGACCGACGACGTTTTCGACAAGCGCAATTGAGCAGAAGGAAACTTTGACGTAGCCAGCGCAGGAAACGGCTGTGGGCTTTCTGTGTCGAGGTACCACCCCTACACAAACACGCTTTCCAGCTCAACTTCGAAGCCCTTCTCCACGACGTGGAGAGAGTACGCCAAGCTGACGATCTCGTCGGCGCCATTGCTGCTGGCGCTGTCGTTTCTTTCTCTGCGCAGGCGGTGTCGACGGATGATTCTTCCAACCGTCGACAGCGGGTTCGCCTTGTTCAGCTGCTTCTCGAGCCAGTTCCCTCGCTCCCCACTCGGGTCGAGCTTCTCGGTTTGTCTCCGAAACGGGTTGCCCTTCTCCATGACGATTTGTCCCCCAATCGTCACCACCTCGACCGAGGGCGGCGGCAACATGGCGGACAGGTAGGCAAGTATCTCAAGTGTTGCAGTGTGGGCGTCGTACAACTCGGCAGCCTGTACTCTAGTCCGGAGTGCTGCATTCTACACTATAGTCCAGTGTACGCGCGAGCGGTTCTATGATGCAATATCATAGTACCCGCGTTAGAGGGTGTTACATCAAAGAAAATGCCTTTATAGACGTGATTCTCCTGCGGCACCTCAGAGAACGAATGACAAAATGATCAACCTGGGCGTTGTCCCGCGGTGTCGTGTTGGGGTTAGCGACAAACAACATATCGAAAAACGGGGCGGGGCAAAAACACCTGGCGGCGGTGCTCTATAGCAGAACTATAGTGTTCTACTGCAGATCGGTGTCGAGGTATAGAGCGTCAAGCATAAGCGTGGGGAGCGATGCATTTGGACTTGCGGCTCTCACTACACGCATACGCCACCGCGGGGATTCTACGAGGACCCACGAGAGAGGATGCACGGCTGCCGGGAAGACGTGTTTGTGGGAATAGTGGTTGAGTGGCCTCATTTGCGCTATTTAGATAGCGATACTTAATTTGAAGCAACAACAATCGATCAACTTTCCATTCATTCCACCCACCACGTCCCCCGCCTTTGTAACCTGGAGCACGATGACGTCCCCAAAGTACCGCTGCGGTGGGCTACTGGGGACGTTCTTCGCCACTACTGCTGTTGCCTCACTTCTGTCATCGTTGCTGCTGCTTACGCCGGTACCGCTGCTTCTGCCTTCGCCGTCGCTGTCGGTGGCCCTTCGGCCCTTCGACGAGCGGCTGCGGCGGCGCGCTGTTGAGTAAAAATGGCGAGAAACCCAACGTCAAGCGGGTGGGGTTTTGTCCTCGATTTCTTGCTTTAAGTCCACGTTTGTGTTGAGCAATAAGGTAATTACGCCCGATCACACACACTGTTGGTAGTACGGACCTGTGAGGAAGGAATCCGCATGCGCGCGTGTCAAGTTTTTTGGGGTTCTATCGTGGACCTGTAAGGTAAAACGCTTCGACGGCAACAGACAACGAGAGTATCAACATTTGTCCCTGACAGCAAGGGTTTTCTCGCACTCCTTTGCCAAAATTTGGAGTGCCACGAAGCGATTTCCCCCCCCGTTCTTGTGAACAACAGCAACAATCCCATACTTACAATTTTCGAATTATGTTCACCTAGGGCTCAAGTGGCACGGGAAGAACTACCCCCCCCCCTCGCAACAAACGGTTCTCTTCGTCATCACAACTCAAGGATTTCGCGGCCTCGCGTCACCGTCCCCTCCCACCGCGACAAGGCCTAAACCTAGATCCGATTGGGGGAGGGGAGTGAAACAAGGGTCCCTGAAAACTCCAGGTGCAAAGCAAGCAAGTTTGCACGCACCTTCAGCCGTGCTCTCTGGTTGATGCGGCGGGACTTTCTCCTCCTCATCGTCGTCCTCCATGTTCACGTCCGACTTGTTCTTCCTCTCGCGAAGAAACTCTTCGAGTGTTCTCTCCATCTCGGCGACAACGTCTGCTGTCGGTTCCGTGGCCTCTCTCTCCTCGCCCTCGAGCACCTTCGAGAGCTCGAACCGTTTCCTCCTGCCGCGGAAGGAGCGCATGGCCTGTGCCGGATCGGCGGCGGCCAGAACCTTGAGGTCGGCGCGCGGTTCTCCACCGTCGTAGTCGGGGTTCAGGCCCGACAAGATGTTTTGCGTGCTGAGCGTCCCCGAGGGTCGGTTTTCGACGGCTTGAACCATCTCGTCGCGGAAAAAACGGTACCGCTGCGGGCCTGTGTGAAGTAAGCTGCCATCAAACCCCATGGTCATCACGTGCTTCTCGTCGAGACTGGTCATCGTGGACGGGAAGCGTAGCTCCTCGCCCACCTGCCCAAATCGTCAGGAAGTCAACAAACGCGGACAAAAAACGCAGGAGAAAGATTGAGAACGCTACAACAAGCACATCGCATTGGCCAACGTGGTCATGTGCAAAGATAGTGCGCAGACCGCGCCAAGGGGAGGGGAGGCGAGGACAATGACATCGGGCACAAGAGAAGCGACAACTACGTGATGAACGGAAGAGAAGTGTCCGCGAAAAGTAACTGGAGGAGACCGAACGGCGACACGTCATTAAAAAGAAGGCAGCTAACAAGATGACCAACCGAAGACCATCCAGTGTCATCACTAGCACCACTGCAGACCGGTGGCTAGAGAAGACGGGTCTAACCAGGCACCCCGAGCCAGGCCAGAAGCTATTACATAATGTACCATGCACTCGTTTCGAAAAGAAAAAACGCAAGTTCTAGAAGGGTGTCAGCCTCGCAGGCATCTTCTGGAAAGGGAAGTTGTCATTCACCGTGATGTAGGACGGGCTTAGTAGCTGTCGGTCTTCGAAGGTGTGCTGAGCTAATGGAGAAAACAACTACGAGAACTCCCCAGCGGTGGTAGAGGGCGGTGTGGTTCCCGCGCCCCGCCTGCCCTGCTGCTGCTCGCCCTGCTGCTCTTGGTGCTGCTGCTCATGGTGCTGCTGCTCGAGCTGCCGCCGTGTACGAAGCCAGCTGAGGACGTGCAGCCGCATCCAGGAGGGGTTCTCCGGGTAGGGTATCACCACCGCCGACATGCCGGAGGCCGTGTAGCGGGCGTGGCAGTCGAAGAAGAACTCGCCCCCCGTCTGAACATGCACCAGGGAGTTGGTGTCCTCCTGTGGTTGATTTAACGAGAGAGGAGCGATACCGGGGACGAAAGTGAACGGGGAAACATGAAGGAGAATCGATTCGCTCGTGCGTGAGGTAATTAAGGCGCAATGCAACCAGCGTTCTTGCCGCCTCATCCGCAGAATGGATTGTATGTCTGTGACAATGGTTGTTCGATCAAACGTTTAGCGGAGGAAAGATCACGGCGTGCCGCCTCAAAGTTTGAGATGGCCGACAGACACAGTGCGACAATCTCAGCACGCGAAAAATAAAAAACCTATGTAAACATCACACCAATTCCGCTCAGGTCGTTTCATTGCCGAGCGAATCAGTTGAAATGTGCTTCTTCGGAGTATGTAGTAGAGGAAGACAAATTTGGAGATTTCGAGCAAGAGACGTGGACTACTGCAGATTTACACCGACCTTCAATACCTTTCGAGCTAGGTGGTTCAACTCAGCGTTCGTGTCTGGGCACAACTACAAGCAAAGAAACGGTGGTTCTAGCCAAGTGCGATCCTACTCGGCGGACACTAAAGAGCGGAGAGGGGAAGAGTAGTTTTGAGAGGGTAGGAGACGGGTAGCTTTTCCTCTTTGCCCTGTAGGCAATTCAAAACGCTCAGAGATAGTTGCGAAGGAAAGCGAACAATGAACACCAGCTAATGACCATCCACAACAGGCATCATGGCAACACAATGGCAGCACTCGTGACTATGCACCTCAGATCCATCGTGGGGAACTGGGCCCTGCCCGTGGGCGTACAGTCCCACGTATCCCTGAGGCTCCACGGTGAAAATCGCTCCGGAGATCCCCTGCACCGCGGGAACACCAACAGCAGCATCGCCTCGCTACGTTTAATGCTAGCATTACCTTTGAGAGCACCAGAAGCGCCACAGCAATAACAACAACAACACTATGAAAAAACAAAAGCGAAGAGCTTACGGACAACGTATCGTGCAAGCATCTGGCTGCAAAAGTGCCTTGGTGACTATTTCAAAGACGAGAGGTCGTCTTCCATCACGTACTCGCCCCTCGCGCTCGCTGCACGCAGCTAACTTTCGTGGTTTCTGGCACATGATGGTCTACCGAACCTTCATATATTTTTTTGAAGAGCAAGCAAACTCCCTCACCGGCCTGCCCACGTTGTTGCTCTGCTTGTTTCGCCCCCGTTTGCACACACGCACTCATACATACCTCGAGCTTTTCCACGCGCATCGTGGAGACGCCAAACCTCAGCTTGGCGTTCTCCTTGAAGTGAATGCGAACGCCCTCCAAGTACAGGACGGGTGTCTGGGAGAGGATGATCAATTCCTCGGTGATCTCGAGCAGCTGCACGTGTGTATTGGAGGTGGTTGTAGGGATGTGGGGCATCAGTGTGAGGGAGGGGAAGAGGATGGAGGGTAGCCAAAAAGAAGAACGATAGAGCTGTGAGCGCGGGAGGCCCTGGTTGCTGTAGCTGTTACTCTTGTTGCTGCTGCCGCTCTTGTTCTTCTTTGACGTTGTATCTCATGGCACGCGACTTTCTGCCTTTGGAAATGAGATACCCGAAGGAAGAGAGGAAAACAAAGATAGTCTACAGAGAAAGTACAAGAAAGACGGACACATACCCAAAGAAAGAGAGGAAAACAACAAAGATACAGAGAAAATACAAGAAAGACGGACACACCCGAAACACTGGACGGGCGGAGAGAGTGAGATTGAGAGGGAGAGAACGGCATGACAAGGAATGAAGGATACATTCTTCGATTTCCTTCACACCGTCGTAAAAAAAAAACTTCACCCTCTCCTCCCGGCACACGATGTCGCCCGTGATAAGCAGGACTCCTTCCATTCGCGTTCGACCCGAGCGGAGTTTGTCGCAAGAGTTGATTGCTTGGCCCGGGAGTTTCTCGATCTCGTCGAAGGAAGGAAAACGGCGGCGCCTGGCCATAGCGTTAGCTTTAGCTTTACCTTCAGCGTTAGCTTTAGCGTTAGCTCTCGCCTTAGCTGTAGCGTTAGCTTTAGCTTTAGCGGTAGCGGTAGCGGTAGCGGTAGCGTTGGTGTTGGTGCTGGTGTCGTCATCGGTGTGGCCGCCGCTGTCGAGCTCGGCGCAGGAGTTGGTATTGGTGTCGTCGTCCCCAGTCCTGGAAGCGGGAGGCTCGGTGGAGGGGATGGGGGCGGGGGTCGAGTTGTCTCGCTGCGGGTCCTGGTCGGGCATGGAGACGACGGTGATGCTGGAGGTCGTGTAGCCGACAGCGGCCATGAAGCGCGTATTTGCCCCCTCCTTGGCACGCACGAGAGAGTGCACGGCCTCCTGTAGGGAGCGAAGACGGGAAACAAGGGGGGGGGGGTTGGTGTACTCATAGTCGTGCATGCCGTAGTCGTTAGACCATTGACCTCGCATCCCTACAAAGCCGGGACGGAGCACGCCGGGTTCTCACCGGAC